GCCGCGCGCGCGGGGGCCGTCGGGGCGGCCGGGCGGGGCACGGGCCGCCGGGCAATTCCTCGGGGAAGTTTGTGCCTCGCCGCGCGCCGTAGCGCCCCGTGCGCCCGGCTCCACGCTGGCCGCGCAGGCGCGCTGAGGCGCCGCGCTCACCTGCTCCGCGCTGGGGGGAGAGGCCCGGGCGGCGGCTCCGCGGCGGCAGGAGGGAGGTAGCGGGGGGTGGGGGGGGAGAGGCCGCCCCCCGGCGCCCCCCGCCCGGCGCCACCATGTTCAAGAAGCTGAAGCAGAAGATCAGCGAGGAGCAGGCGCCGCCGCGGGCCGCGGGGGGCCGCGCCGCCCCCCACCCGCCCCAGGTACCGCCGCGGCGCCGCCCCCTCTCCTCCCCCGCGCGCGCGGCCGTTAGGGCCGTTAGGGGCGGGAGGGGGAGGGAGGGCGCCAGGCTCGTGTGGCGCAGCCGGTACCTGAGGGAGTACGGGGGTCGGGGGGTGGAGGGGGGTCCCTGCGGTGACATGCCACAAAGAGCGAGGAATGGAGGGGGTCATCGCTCCTGTTTTGCTCTTTATTATTTATTTATCCACACCAATGGGATTTGATAAATGAAGTTGCTGACAGCTGCTTAAGGGTCTTTAAGACCCTCCCGGGGGTAGGCTTGCAACTTTGGGACGGAGGGGGGATGCTTTCCTCTCCTCTTCATGTTTATCCCTTCAGTTCCTGCAAGTTCTTTCTGTTACAGTCATTTAGAGAGCTGTTTTGCCTATTTTGGCCTTGTGCTACTTTATTTGTTTAGTCATAGGAAAGACGAGACCTAGGTATAAAAGTGATACTAAGGCCTTTTTTTTTTTTCTTATAGTGATAAAATAATTGGCCTTTTTTTTTTTTTTTTTAATGTATTTACCATAAAAGTGCAGTTAGTGTTGGCTTCTAGCAAGCTGCAGCCCGGTGAGGACAGTGTTGCCCATGCAGATATGCTGAGGTTACAGAACACATCTCTGGGAGTGACGGTGGCCAAAAAAAAAAAAAAAAAAAAAAGTGGCAATCACTTGATTGGCTGTGTTGGAGCAGAATAAACTTGCTGTATTATCAGTTTCAATTTTGGGTAGAAGATCTCAACAAATTAACTTTGTGCAGGGACCTTTGGTGTTCAGTCAGATACTCGCCTCTTGCACGTGTGTGGCACTTAGATCTTCTGCCTTTCTGAAACCAGTGCAGAGACTTTGTAGAATTCTGATGGCTGGAAAAGACCTCTCGAATGATTGAGTCTAACCATAAAGCCATCTCCACTCTGCCTGTTAAACCATGTCCCTAAGGACCTCGTCTACCCTTTCCTTGAACGCTGCCAGGGACGGTGACTCCACCACTTCCCTGGGCAGCCTGTGCCAGTGCTTCACCACTCCTTCCGTATGGAATTATTTCAGATAAATGAGCAGGCGTAACCTCTGCATGCTGTGACTGACAGGCTGGAGGCAGATACTCTGGCTGATTTGAGAGGCGGACGGCTGCTTGCCTGTGTGGGATCCAGATGATACAAACCTGCAGTGATCTGGCACTGCATGGCCCAGGTGTTAGGGGGCCATGCGTTTCTGCAAGTGTAATACTATGGTGAACACTTTTTCTGAACCTCTTTGTAGGCCTCCCTTTTCACTAGGTTGGCTAGCTAGTTACTGCCAGTACTCTGATTCTGAAAACGTGCATTTTTCCCCATGTGCTGAAGAGCATGACAGAGTGTGGTTGCTGAGAAGAAGAAACTTTTGCTGCTCCAGGAGTCTGTTTCATCTCCTCGGACTGACATGTCCTCAACTTCAGAATTCTCCCGTTCATTGCCTAGAGCCAGTGACCACTTCTGCAGAGTGTAGCGTCTCTGAGGTGGCTCTAAATTGGCAAGAAGTCTGAGTGCAGCAGTGAAAACTGTCTACAACTAACTGGCAAAACCAAGACATGCCTAGATACTCTATCTAAATGGAAAGCGATGATAAACATTTGAAAAGTTTTTCCTTTATGTTTTCTGATGTTTATAGACTATTTTCTGAAGTGACTGGAATTAGCTTAGGGGATGGGAAGAGCAGTATGCATCAGCATGAGCAGATTTTGGTTATTGCTCAGACCTTATTTATTATTATTCAAACATTTTTGAATTATTTATTATTATTATTATTATTATTCAAACCTTTGAAGTTTTTTTTTCATCAGTGTGTAAAGCTGCTATAGTGTCATTTAGTTCTAGACAAGGTGTTTGCCTTTCTAGGAACTCAGAGTTGAGAAAATTTTGGCCATTATGCTGAACCTGTAGATATGACTGATTTTGGAATAATTTACTGTATTTGGTGTGATATCGGTTTTATTTAATTTCTATCCAGATGATGAGAAATGTACCCGTAGATTTATGATATATAACTTAAGTATAATTATCCAAACTCCTGATTTGGCTTGAGAGGATGAAAAGGGCAGGAGCATCTAACTCTGGTCCCGTGAGAATTGATTTTGTGTGGCAGAATACAAGTGCCAAATTTATATATGGCAATATAAAAGATGCCACCATACTGATTTTTTTTTTTTTTTTTTTTGGCAATAGGATTTGGTTATTCTGATTATTGTAGAATATACCTAATGAGAGGTTTTGTTAGCTAGGTTCTCTAGAAACTAGAGAAACTAGATAGAATAGAAACTAGAGTGAAACTAGCTGGTATTTTAATGTTCATTAAATAGATACTTCATGTTTGCAGTATGAGACTGGTAAATTAAACTTGGGTTTGTTCGACTTGCCTTTTAGCAACCTCATTCAGGTTATAGTTGTGAAATAGCTTTGAATAGATGTTCAGTGCTAACAGGACAAACAAGTTCCCATTAACCTCATAAAATGTGTCATTTGCTTCCCCTGTCCTTGTTTATTTAGATCCTCTGATTGAGATATTTATGTTTATTTATTTTTAATAAGCAAATTTTAAAAGTTTTGCAAATGGACAAATGTAAATCTACTTTCATTCAGTTATTCTAATAAGAAGTAGAATCTGATTCCATTAAGAAATTAACACAAATACTGTCAAAAGAGGAAAAAAAATCTTGTAAAACACTAATCATTAAAAATAATTAACTGTTACAATGCTAAAATATTAGGAAGCTTGAGTTTGAAGTATGTTTTAAGAGGACCACGATCATAAGTTACTGAAATAATTTTATTACATGCAGTCAGGTAAAACTTGTCACAGATAGCTCGAGGGTGTCTTGATGTGATGTCCTTTCTTTAAAAGGAAAATCTACACAGCACTATACTAAAATATCATAGTTAATATTAAAATAAACTGTGATGTGGAAGAATTAATTCTGGGCCTAACTTGCTGAAACATGTGATTTCTGTAGACCCCTACCAAATCCCCTTCACCAACTGGCAACAGAAGCAGGACATCTTCATTTACAGACCAGAGTGATGAAGGCACTTTAACACCAGATAAAGAGGTCAGTTGAAAACTTTTTCCTATATTTTTTTAGGTTTAACATTTCACAGCTCTATGTGTACTTGATTGGCCTTTTATAATCTCCAGTCTCACTATTTCCTGTCCATTTATACATTGAATATTCTTAACTTTTAGTTTAAATCACAGTATATTTAATATTACCAAAACAGACTTCTAAACTGTAGTGACTAACTCCTAGATTGGGAATTTCTTTTATGTCCTTCTTCAGGGTTTAAAATCATCTCTCTCAACTAAATGCAGGAAGGTAGAGGAATGAGACTTGTATTCAGAGGATAATAAGTGTTGTTCTTGCCTTTTATCACAGAAAAGCTAGAGATCCTAGTAATGCTAGAGGTAACTTGGGAGAGACTGGCCTCGTGGCCTAGCCCCTTGTGAATATGTATCTAACTATATTGGTAGTAATTATCAAGTGTTTTTTAAAAAAGGCCTAAAAACCTAAATTATTGGGTGTTCAGTGTTATTAAGGTCACTTATATCAGGACTATGGGTGACTACGACCTGCATGTTATAGCAAGCAGCAGTGTCAGTGTTCAGCAGTCATCTTTATTCAGCTTGAGTACGGTGGTTTTGCTGAAATAATTTTTTTTTAATAAAAATGGACTTAGGATATATAGTGTATAGCACATAGTGTATAAAAATGGCAGAAGGAATAAAGTTGGAAGTAAAAACAAGCTGTGTCATGTTCCTAACTAAAAAAAAAAATGTATTCTCTGGATTTTTGTTGAGTAGAAGGTTGTCCTTTCAGCGGGCCCATCTCCTTAAATTTTTAACATTCTCTTTTCGGGAGATAATAAGTTCTATCTGTCATTTTTCTTATACTGTAATGGACAGTGCTAGTTATTACAGCATGGCTATTTATTCCTGCTATAGATTTTGGAAACTAAAAGACTCCTATCTCGTAGTTTGGTTTTGTGTTTTGGAAATATTCTTTGTAATGTTGAGTATCTAATAAATGCTTTTTTACTTACTGCTGTACATACAGAATGACTTCCCTCAGTCCCTGGGGGGAGGATTTTGTTAAGTGAGGCTCACTATGTTAGTGAGCAGTGTCATCCTTGATAAATTATTGAGTATTTCAGAAAGGAAATTGCTGTTTTTCAGGAAACACAACCTGAATTTCTGGTCTTAATGCACAGCACAGAAGTAGCATGCTGCCTTGTGAGAGCTGCCTCACAGTGCAGTCCACAAGGAAGGAGCTGCTGATGCGTATCCCTGAAATCTGTTACCAGTGCAAAAATATCAATCCCTTTCTAATATATGTCTATAGTAGAACGTGACAAAGGTTGGAGACCAACATTTGGCCAACATTTTCAGACTATTGGAACAACAGGAGTCTAGTAGTATATGAAGTGGTGAAGCCCTGGAAGATGTTTCTGTGCAACTGATTCCCTGTTTTATCTGTCATTGACTTGACACTACCTACATGGAGGAAAGAATTATTCCCTTTTGTAATGGGAAGTACTAAGGGGAAAGAGGAAGCGATGGCCCTCGTTACCCCTACCACTCCCCAGGCAGCAATCCCTTTTCTGCTCAGATGGTGCAACTCACACACCGAGTCAAACTCGGGAGGCTTTTTCTTAACTGACATTAAGCCATGAGGGTGGCTGTTATTTGAGAACTGAAGCGGACTTGTGTGTCTCAAAGCTCATTGTCTTCTCCAGTTGCCTCAGTGGGTTTACTAAAAGGTAGGATCTGTCTTTACAGTCCTTTCCTGAGTTTTGTCACTGGGTTGTAATGGATGCAGAAGAACTATTCTGAAAACAGAGTATTAAAAAATAAATACTTTTGCAAACTCTTTTGAATACTGGTAAGTTACCTGTATGTCTGAGTGCTACTTGCAATCTTCGTTTTGGTGGATTTTATCTTGCAGCACTTCACTTGACTTACATTGCCCCAATCTGTTTTTTCTAGTATGTTTTTCCAGACAAACAGGAGAAGCAAAGGATTCCCCACAGGATGTGCCAAGTTATATTGGAAGAACATTATCATGCTCTAAATACAGTGGCTACACTTGGAACGATCAGAGGGGGAGAGAAGGAGAAATAAGATTAAGAATGGAAACAGTACTAAAGTAATCTCAGATTTGCAGTTATCCCTGGGCTTAGGGAGCTTCTAGAAGAATTTTATTTGTGAAATATCTTCTGTAATTAAAAAATGAGAAAGCAGTTTGCTAAGGAATAGAAATCTCCAGTTTTTAGTAAGGACTATTGTTATGTCAAATGGAAAGTTTTACAAAAATAAAGATAAAATAAGACATGGAAGCTGCTTCAGATATTCTTTGTAAATCTTAACAGAACAGTTAAAAGTAAATCATAATTGGAATTTGTTTGGTTTGATTATTTTTCATAAAATTTAGTTCAATACCAGTAACTATGCTTGAAAGACATACGCATATATTTTTATATACATTCTCTCCCTTGTATTTTAATGTGCCTCTGATGGAATATATTTTCAGATTCTTAGTGACATAGGATCTGTGTTACAAGCGCTGCATGAGACAGCTTTGTTTTAAACTGAATATTTTTAGAATAAAAAGTTTCAGTGAAGGAAACCCTTATTTTTTTTCTCGTTAATGTTGTAATTTTATATTAAACAATGTGCGGGCAAACATACAATGTAATCTGTAATGAATTGATTTATTTTTATAAAAAAGAGAAAGTTTTGAAATTTTAAACAATCTGTAGCTTCATTCATGAAGCCATTACATGAGCTTGCCTTTTCTCTGCCCACTCTTCATCAGTTTCTAGTTCGGTTATAGGCAGTGTTATAAAGAAGCCCATAATTTCTTCTCGGGGGAAAGCAGAGGATCTTTCTAGTTCTGTATTCTGTTTTTGGCAGTTGCCAATAACGTGTGACTGAAATAGGAGAGGAAAGTTTATACTTCCCTGGACCTTCCAGGAGTTTGCAGCTCAGGTGCTTCCTGAGTCAGTTGTTGGATCATTGTTTGAAACAGCCCAAGATGATTTGAACTTGGCAGCTTCCTACTGCTTCCAGTCTTTTCTAGGAACGGACAGTGTTTAGATTTCATACTTAATCTGTTGCTACATTGACCCCTGAACACAATTCTAAATTAAATAAATGAGTCGTATTCAATATAGTTTCTAGAAAATTCAAATATCTTTCTGTTCTATAAATATTTTCAGGCCCTACTTGTCAGCAGAGGATGACAAAGCTAGTTCTGAGCCACTGACTGCAAGTAAAGAGCTGGTGGCTTGCTAGAGGTGACCTGTCACTCGGGCATGTACTAATGCCACTCTCATCCTCACAAATGCTGCAGATATGACAGCAGAGCACAATATATACACACACACACACACACCCCAATATATTTATATATAGCTCTTAGAACTCCAGCTAAGCTAGCGATGTTCTCCTCAGTCTTACTTTACTGCTACGTAATGCCTGTGTTTCTCCAATGAAACATTTTTTTCTGGGGTGGACTAATTAAGCAGGACAAGTAAAAGGGGAAAGAAGTAGATGGAAAGATTGTTCTTTCAGTCCCTTTGCTAATGCTGCGTTTTTTATTTATTCATGCACTTTGAAGTACTTCTAAAGAGTTAAGGGTAGTTGTCTCATATACATTAGGGTTTTTTTTGTTTCCCCTTTTTAACGTGCCAGTTTAAAACTAAGTTTTGGAGGCTAGCTTTTATCTAACAAGCTATATCCTAGCTTGTACCTAAAGCTGGATTTCACAAATCCTCATGGATATACCGGCATGTTTTAGTTTGCTCCTCACAGTAGTAAGCAAGTCAGGAAAGGTTATGTTTGATCAAGGAATTTCTTATTTTTTCTGAAAATTATAATGCAGCACTCGGATTCTGCTCCTTTTTTTTAATTATAGAGAGAAATCTTGACTCTTTAGTTCTTCCTTAATTTTGTTTTTTAAGTACAAATCCCTGCTGTGTTCAAGGAATTAAAAAAAAAAAAAAAAAAGGCAAGATGTTGCATATTACACAAGCCTTACCTAAATCAAGTCAGCAAATTACTGAATTAAATGCATTGTGTTTTTTTTTCTGGCATTTCCTAATTTAGAGGAATATCCCTTTTTCTTTTTTTTCCTTTTTTTTACTGTAAGGAATAAATATCTTGTCGATAAGAGCTGAAGCTCTAAACCTTTGACCTAGCAGCTGGCAGCTCCGGTCTCTTGAGGCTTTTCTCTTGGACAGGCACACAGTCCTCTCCCTCTGTCTTACTCTGCATACAGCATAGCAAGCCTGTTCGTGTCAATTATAGATTTTTCAGGCATTAAAATACTGCAAATGCACGTGCCCCAAGCATACCCTGCTAATATTTTTTTGCGCAGTCTGTATGCTTCAAGAGAGCTTCAGCCCAGTTGGATTCCCTGCTTTTCTAGCTGTGTTCATCCTGTTATCAGGTGTAGCACTAATGTAATTTTAGTGATACAGGAGACAGCATTGCACCAAGTATGTTTAGTTTGTCTCAAGTTACTGAGGTAATTCAGAGCAATCGCAAGGCCGGATCTTGAGGTGTTAGAATCCTTTTGGGAAATTTTAGTATCTGATTCTGATCCTGGCGAACTAGCTAGTGTTTTTTTTTTTTTTTTTTTTTTTTTTTCCCCTTGCCTATTTTCCAGTCAAAGGCGAATCATTTTTGTTTGGGAGACTTCTACCAAAAAAAGAAAAAAAAAAAAAAAAAGGTTAATTTGCAAGCTAGTATCAAAGCCATACTGAAGAGTTAATTTAAAATATGTAGCTAAAACCAGATGTTTATATTGGAAAGCATTAGGTAGTGTAATTATCGGTCTCATTAGAAGCTCTGCCTACAATGTAGCTGTTAAAATGTAGCAGATAATGAGCTGTTGAAGAACCAAAATGCTCCGAGCATTTTATATACTTAAATACATTTGTTTGTGGCTACCCAGCATCTGAGAATAGAGATAAACTTACTGCTAGGAAGATGCATCCAGCTCTAAACGTGCTAAGAAAATACCACTCCTGGACAGTGGTTGAGCGTATCGTGGCTTTTATAGCTCTTTGAAGCATGAAACTCTTCTCATGGCTACCAGGGAGGAAATATCTTGCATTTTGATGTCGGTGACTGCCTTGCCTTAAGCAGTGCTGCTGTCTCCTGCCCTTTACTTGTGGGTTTGGCTCTTTCCCTTTAGTGTTTGCCCTGGCTTTTTTTTTTTCCATAGAGTCAAGGAACTGCAGAAGGAAGCTGAGATGACTTAGTGACTTTCATGCCTCCGGGTTTCGAACAGCAGCTGTGAAGCTCAACAGTCCTTTGGTTGTGTTCTGCTGTTTGTGTAAACTATTAGTTGTGGTGCAGGCCCTGGAGTTACATGGCTGCGAACTTGAGCAGAACTGCACTGATTTATATTCATCAGGGTTTTTTTCTTTATTTTTCTTAAAACTGTTAACAACTAGGAATATGGACTCGATACTCTAAGCTATGCAAAAGCTGGTGATCTCCTGAACTTGCTAAAGAAGGTTTATATTTACAATCTGTCACAATATGCCTTCCAAGTGAAATGAGAAGATTTTACAAATTAGCTCTTACCTTTGTTTAAACCACTTTGTCTACTTACCCATAAAGTGTTTTTCCATTAACCATTTGAGGTCTTGATGTGTAATCCTCCTGTCAGACCACAGTTGCACCAAGTCATGAACTGAAGAGCGTGATTGAAAACACAGATGCTGAAGATACAGTCTAAAATTTTAGTTTTAGATAAAGAATAACTTACTAGAGATGAAATACGAAAATATTTTTTTTAAATACAAGTTGCTTGATGTAGTATTTATTGGAATTTCAATGAAGTGTAATAATGCTATGGTGAAATTCCACTACTTAATATTTTGAGAAGCGAATGTTAGGATACTGTTAATATGAAGTGATAATTTGAACCATCTGTGATTCCTGAAATTCTTGACACTCACGCTTTAAAATAAACTGGCTCGACCAAGCTGAAGATAAAATATGTTACATCTTGAGAAGCCTCATAATGTTTCAGTTAGTAGTATTTGCTGTAATCCATTTGCAAGTGCACTGCAAATATTGTTTCATCATCTTAACTGATCTTGTCTAAACATACAGGCCAATTTTTGTCTTAAAGATTTCATCAACATTGTATTTGCGATAGAGAATTTATATACTTCTAATTCACAAGGCCATCAGGCTTGATTGTAGTACTGCTGTTGTGGGTATGCTTGTGTGCATATACATAATTGTGTGTTTGCTGTTCTTTTTCTAGCACATGCTCTTTTAAAAGTACATATGAGAGATGAAAAGCCTGGCCAAGTTACAAGCATTTACAGCTACCACCACTTGCAAAAGCTTCCAGGAAGAAAAGTTTAATACTTTTTTTTGTCAGTTTTTTTTAATTTTTTTTTTTTTTTTCGTATCTGGAAGCTCAGATGAGGATAGGAGTTACTGGGGTTTTACATTTTTGAGTAACTCTCCAGAGAGAGCTTTAACACAGCTTACTCCTGTGGAAAGTTTAGGTATCATTCCTGCCCACTTCTGAGCGTGGGTTGAGTTTCATGTTTTTCTTCATTGTGGGGCAACATTGCAAGAGGGGAAGTCCTACTTTCACCCAGCAGGACCTTTGCTTTTCTGGAACCTGCCCATACGGTTCTTTATCAGTCTATAGATCTGATAGAGGAGCTGATGATCTAAGGGGAAGACCAAGCTCAGCTGGTGGCTGCAAACCCAGTGGATGCCATGGGCAAGGTGGGCCCGGCCTGTGAGAGGAAGGGCACCGTCCCCCTCGTACAAACAACCTGTATGTGTAGGAGCACACAGTTTAGAGTAAATTCCCTGTAGTTGCCTTGTCCATGAAGGCACTTTGCAATACAGGGAGATGGGGTACAGCCTGAGCTCCTCTCCCCTTGTAGCTCTAGAGGATCTTCTGGTGAAGGGAGCAAGATCAAGGCTCTCCCGCAAAGGACTTGTGTGTTAGGGCTCCCTACACGCTATAGCGAACCCAGTGGGAGGCAGTAAAAGCACAGTGTTTAGGTTTGTATTTCCCTTTTTTTTTCTTCAGGACCAATAATTTAAGTTTTAGCTGTTCAGGCTTTTAGATGGTTCTTTTTCTCCTAAAGTGCCTGATTACATTAGAGGAAGCCTTTTCCTTACCCGACAGGGAGTCAGTGCTGATGTTCGGAGCTGGTGTAGAGATGTCACTGCACATTATGCACTTAAGTATTTTCTGGAACTGCTTAGCAGACAAATTATAAATCATGTAGCATTCCGGATCTTTTTATACCTCAAACTGCTTCTTTCAACGGCAGATTCAGCTGTTGGAGCACCGGAAAAGGAATATAACGCTTTAGAAAATGTGAACTTTAATTTGTTTTGCCATAGAGTTGATTCCTTAAAAAAATACTTAGTGACTTGGGAAAAAAAAAGTTCTGAAGTAATGAGAAAGAAAAGCCATATTGTGTTTTGCTTCATTCAGCAAAGAGCACAAATCTGAAATCT